ATATATATATATATATATATATATATATATATATATATATATATATATATATATATATATATATATATATATATATATATATATGTATGAATAGGTTTTGATTGTCATGCCTGGATTATTTCTGTCGGTTGGTTTATTTTAAACCAAACAAGACGCTCTATAGAGCGTTAACTCGCTGGGGCTATACAAACACGCACATTACCGTATATGATACATGCATGCATGCATGCAGTATACAATTGTTTTAATTAAGATTTAAGGTTGTCCCTTGGCTGTCCCGAGCTAAGCGGAAAAGTCGAATACGAGCGCGAAAGGGTTGAAGATTAAACTTTTCAGTTACAGTTTTGTTCACTCTGTTTTGAACTATATCAACATATAACACTGGGGCCGGTTGTACGAAAGGTGGATAAATCGCTATCCGGTGGACAAGTCCTTATCCAGCGGATAAATTTTATCCGGAGTGAAAATCGCGTTGTACGAAGCTTGGATAAAATGCACTATCCGTTGGATAAATTTATCCGAGGTCCGGAGGTAGTTTAAATCCACTATCCGGCGGATAAACTCGAAGTTTGAAGACAAAACAATTTATTATATATCAATAGTCAAAGTCGCATTTTTCTAGTGTTTTATTGGTCGAGAGCGTATCACGTGAGAGTGACGAAATTAGACTGTCTCCCTCGCAACAGCGCGAGAGGGAGATAATACGTTATCGACCGGCGAATAACAAAAAAAATCACGTGCGCCATCACCTGAAGATGCGACCTTTGAACATGCCTAAAAGCGCGCGATTTGTTAGCTATTTTTATATTTTCGTATTTTCAACTTATTTGTAAAAAAGCGAATATGGTAAGGTTTTCCAGCAAAAATGACGTCGATATTGAGTCAATGCTGGCAGACAAGGACTCAAAGTCAACAAAAAAGGCAACTAAACAAGCTGTGAAAATACCAAGAGAATATTGTGCCGAAAAATAACTTCCTACGGAGTTTGAAAATATAAACAAAGTAGAACTTGACAACCTACTCAGACATTTTTATGCTAATGCAAGAAAAAAAGACGGAACACTGTACAGTAAAAGCACTAAGAACTCAATACGATATGGATATTTAATGAATGAAAAGAAAGTAAACATCGTGAAGGACGTATACTTCGGTTCGTCAAACAAAGTATTTTCTGCATTACTCGTTGAACTGAAACGAAATGGCATGGCTAAAGTTAACCACCATCCAGAAATTACGAAGGACGACTTACAAAAGCTGCACTTAAGCTTCGATTTAAACACTCCTAAAGGACTGCAGCAAAAATGTATGTTTGATATAATGTTTCATCTGGTCAGAAGGGGACGAGAAAACTTGCGAGAACAAACTAAAGACACGTTCGAGGTAGCTGTTGACTCGCAGAATAGAAGATACGTTTACCAGGCTGTCGACGAGCTCGATAAAAATCATCGAGAAAATGACAACCCCCAAGATTTTACAACAGATGGAAGAATGTACGCGCAACCGGGTGCACTATGTCCAGTCAAGTCATTTGAGTTGTATCTTTCGAAGCTTCATCCCGAGTTAAAATGCCTTTGGCAACGACCGAAGGAAGCAA